TCTTCCTTTCCATGTTCCAATTATTAAAGGATGTTTGCTGCTGTTTCTTCTCACTTTGAGTGATGCCATATCAGCAAATGGAGGGACTAAAAAGTTTTACTCCAACCACATCAAGGACAATTCTATTTTGATGTTGTCTCTCAGTAATAGGATAATATCTACATGCCTACAAAGAAGACCAGTTAATACAACTATTACTAAATGTATATACCAACCACTAAAGCAAAAGATGAAGAAACTGAAGATTTTAACCAAATTCTGCAGTCTGAAATTGACCAAACATGCAATCATGATGTATTGATAATTACTGGTGACTGGAGAGTGAAAGTTGGAAAAAAAGAAGAATCACCAGTAGTTGGAAAATATGGCTTTGGTGATAGAAATGACACTAGAAATTGCAAGACAGAATTTCGCAAGAGAAAAGACTTATTCATTGTAAATACCTTTTTGCAACAACATAAAAGGCAACTATATATGTGGACCTTGCCAGACAGAATACACAGGAATCAGATTGACGACAAATCAGATTGACGACATCTGTGGAAAGGGCCAATGCAGAAGCTCAATAACATCAGTCAAAACAAGACCAGGAATTTACTGGGGAACACACAATTAATTGCCCATATGCAACTTCAAGTTGAAGCTGAAGAAAATTAAAATAAGTCCATGAGAGCCAAAATGCAACCCTGATTATATCCCATCTGAATTTAGAGACAATCTGAAGAACAGATTTGATGCATTGAACACCAATGATCAAAGAGCAGACAAGTTGTGGGATGACATCAAGAATATCATCCATAAAGAAAGCAAAATGTCGTTAAAAAGACAGGAAAAGAATAAAAGACCAAAATGGATGTTAGAAGAGACTCTGAAACTTGCCCTTGAATGGAGCATAGCTAAAGCTAATGGAAGAAATGATGACATAAAAGAGATGAACAGATTTCAAAGGGTGGCTCAAGAAGACACAGTACACATCCTACTTTGGAGAACAGCAACTGGGATCTTAAAAGCTTGCAAGCAGCCATCTAGATGCAATGATAGATCTCTCCTTGCCCATAGCAAAGAAGAATGAAGAAAACCAAAGATGCAAGGAAACAATTAGTCCAAGCTTCTGATATGTCATGCAATCCTCAGCCTATATGACTGTGAGACCAGAAGAACTAGATGGTGCCCTCCTACCATCGTCAAATACTCAGAGGGGGATCTATGTAGGAGATCCTGGATAGAGTGGGAGAACAATGTAGAACCAAAACTCAACATCATTTAAAATAAAAAGGACCTGGTTTTCTGGTCTGATAGAGTTGGTGGAAACCCTGAGATTATGTCCCCCAGCTGCCCTTCAGGTCTGGAATTGAACCCCTTCCTGTGGCTTCCAGCCAAACAAAAGACAGGCATATGAGGTGAACATTGACATTAGGTAGATACACTCCTTGGAGAGATCAATCATGGAAGAATAGAAGGGCTGTGTAGGAACAAGGACACAGCTTGAGGGGCAGGAGTGCATGGGAAGGAAGGACACAGGGAAGAGGTAACTATGGGGAGGAAGTGAGAGGGGAGCTGTTGCATTGTGGGAAATTAGTCAATGTCATGAGACAAAGTGTACATGAGCTGCTGTATGGGAAATGAATTTACTCTGTAAACTTTCATCCAAATCACAAAAATTGAAAGAAAAAAAAAAAGACACAGTAAAGTATCATAATGAAATATACAAAGATCTGCAGTTAGAAAACCAAAAGGGAAGAACACACTTGGCATTTCTCAAGCTGAAAGAACTAAAGGAAAAATTCAAGCCTCGAGTTGCAGTAAAATATTGAAGGCTTCTATGGGCAAAATACTGAACGATGCAGAAAACATCAAAAGCAGATGGAAGGAATACAGAGTCAATGTACCAAAATGAATTTGTCACTGTTCAACCACTTCAGGAGGAAGCACAGGACTGAAAGCTGATGGTACTAAAGGAAGAAGTCCAACAGCACTGAAGGAATCGATGATAAAGCAAGGCCCCAGGAATTGACAGAATAACAATTGAGATGTTTCAACAAACAGATACAGCACTGCAGGTACTTATCCATTTATGCCAAGAAATTTTGAAGACAGCTACCTAGCCAACCGACTGGAAGAGATCAATATTTGTGTCCATTTGGAAGAACTGTAACTCAACAGACTATGAAAATTATCAAACTATATCATTAATACTAACACTGCTGTCAAGTCATATCTGACTCATAGCAACCCCTCCTTGGGTTTCCGAGGCAGTATCACTATGGAAGTAGAGTGCCCAACCTTCCTTCCGAGGAGTGGCTGGTGGGTTTGAACCACCAGCCTTCTCTTTAGCAGTCAAATGCCTTAGGAATTACACCACCAGAACTCCTATATCATTAATGCCACATGCAAATAAAATTTTGCTGAAAATAATTTAAAAATTGTTGCAGCAGTATACTGACGGGAATTTCTAAAAATTCAAGCTAGATTCAGAAGAGGACGTGGAACTAGGGATATCATTGCTGACGTCAGATGGATCTTGGATGAAAGCAAAGAATACCAGAAAGATGTTTACTTACTTTTTATTGGCTATGCAAAGGCATTTAACTGTGTGGATCAAAACAAATTATGGATAACATTGAGAAGAATGAGCATACTTAGTTGTGCTCATGTGGAATCTGTACAAAGACCTTGTTCAAATAGAATAAGAAGATACTGCATGTTTAAAATCAGAAAGGGTGTGCATCAGGGTTGTATCATTTCACCATACTTACTCAATCTGCATATTAAGCAAATAATCTAAGAAGACCAATTAAAAGAGAAAAACGTAGCATCAGGATTCGAGGAAGAATCATTAACGACCTGCAATACACCGATGATAAAACCCATTTGCTGAAAGTGAAGAGGACTTGAAGTACTTACTGATGCATATCAAAGACTACTTCAGTATGGATTAAACCTCAACATACAGAAAATAAAAATCCTCACAACTGAACCAATAAGCAACATCGCGATAAATGGAGAACAGATTAAAGTTGTTAGGGATTTTATTTTACTTGTATCCACAATCAACACTCATGGAAGTAGCAGTCAGGAAATCAGACATCATACTGCACTGGGCAAATGTGCTTCAAAAAAAAACTCCTTTAAGTACTGAGGAACAAAGATGTTACTTTGAAGACTGAAGTGTGACTAACCCAAGCTCACGTTATTATGTGAAAGCTGGGCAATGAATAAGGAAGACTGAAGAAGAGTTGATGCCTTTGAATTGTGGTACTGGCAAAGAATACTGAAAATACCATGGACTTCAAAAGAACCAATAAATCTGTCCCAGCACAAGTGCAGCCAGATGCTCCTCAGAAGTGAGAATGGCCAAACAATGTCTCACCTACTATGGTCATGTCGTCAGAAGGGAACTGTTCCTGGAGAAGGATATCATGCTTGGTAAAGTAGAGAGGGGCAGTGAAGATGAGGAAGACCCTCAACTAGATGGATTGACTCAGTGGCTGCAACAATGGGCTCAAACACAGCAAGGATCGTGAGGATGTGTAGGACTGGGCAATGTTTCATTCTGTTGTACACAGGGTTGCTATGAGTTGGAGGTGACTTAACAGCACCAAACAATAACAAGTACTTTGAGGAGGCAATTCTTACCCACGTATATATTAAGTGACATCCCTCCTGAGGGCCTTATCTTCCAGCATTGTATCAGACAATGTTCCAATGCTATTCATAATGTTTTCACTAGCCAATTTTTTCAGAAGTAGATCACCAGGTCCTCTTTCCTAGTCTGTCTCAGTCTGGAACCTCTGCTGTAACCTGCTGCATAGAGGATGTGGGGGCAGCATCCTCTTATCTCCTCCAACTTTGAGAATCACCATCAGCAGCCCAAGGCTGCTTCCTATGAGGTTAGATATGCTGCCACCCTCCAACCTTTTACCAATTCTAACCCCAACCATCTTTTCCACAGCACTCTACTTCTCTGCTGGGTTTGATGCTTCACTGCAATGGCCATAGTACTCACAGACAATACTCACAATTACAGGGCTTATTAGGGAAGCAACAGGTTACAATTCAGATTCAGGAATGCTCAGCACACATCAGGACAACATTCCCTCTGCCATGCCTGAAGGCACACCTCTCTTTGGCCCTTGGCCTATTACCCTGGCTTTGCCTTGCTCAGGCAAGCTCTTTTAGCTTTGTGATAGGGGCACCTAGTACACTCCACGAACAAGCCTCCTGCCCAAAGGTACTCAGCATTCTCACTCTGCGGGCCAGCAAGCCTGTCATTCTGTCTCGTGCTGGTCTCTCATTTCTGCTGCCTCTGTTGCCAATTTCTCTGCTGATCTCTCTGCCAGTATCTCTGCCATGGAGGTCCAGAACAGGGATCTTGGGTCCAAGGACATGCTCCACTCCACCTCTGGCTCTTGTCTCTTAATGGCACTGAGAAACCACCCCCTTCTGCCTCTGGGAAAGCTCATTTTACACCTATCAGAATGACAAAACTGACCAATCCCCACATTAGGGTTCCATATACATTATTTCTGTGGTTCCACACCCACAAGAGTGCTATGTCCCTTTATTTACCTTACTAACAAGCTATATAATCCCACTGGAAGTCCACAAGCACCTCATATTTATATAGTTCCACCCAGTGTTTTGTTGGGAGTCACAAAGACCATGGCTAGAAGAGCCATACCAAGTAATTCATTCCACCATACCTGTCCACTATGGGAGACCCTGATGGTATTTGAAATACTAATGGCAATCTTTCAGCATCACAGCACCACATAAGCCACCACAGTATGAGAAATTGACATATGAGTTGTGGAACATGTTCATGTTTGGGAACAAGGCTTAGAGAACTTCTCCAAGGAGCCATAGCATTCCAACATGGTTGGACAATTTGTTTTTATGCACAACTCACAAGACAAGTTCTATGATTCAGTGTTCCTTTATCTGTGAGATTAAGACTCCTGAAAATATTTTAAAGTGAATTATACATTTCAGAGATTTACCTGGCAGAGGTCTTCTTTCTTAGATAGCAATAGTCTTAGGTTAACTTCTTTAGTTGTTGTATCTTTGTGAGGTATTAATGTGTAGAATTCATTCATCATCCTTTGCAATTGTTCTACTGTTTCTCCATTTTTCAGTGCTTCCTTTACTAGAAGAAGAATGCCCTCTGCCTTGCTGACCTTTAAATATAAGATGACATACAATTATTAAAATGAAATCAGAGAAAAAAGGAAGAAATACATATAAAAATAAGTAAATTGTAAGACACGTTACAACTATCAATTTTCTGTTGGACATTTGCCAAAAACAAATGCTGATCTATACTGTATATAGTCTCAATTGTCAAGGTGATGACATGAGAATTCTTCCAAAACTAGGCTCAGCTTAACTATAGGAAAGAACCAAATTCTTACATAACTGTACACATAAGGACATAAATAAAAAGATAAATAGGTATCTATCAGAGCTCAGGTGGCATAATGCCTAAGGCATTTGACTGCTAACCAGAAGGCTGGTGGTTCAAACACACCACCCACTTCTCACAAGGAAGACTAGGCAATCTACTTCCGTAGAGCTACCATCTCGGAAACTCAAGAAGGGGCTGCTATGATCTTTGTTGTTGTTGTTGTTATGTGCTGCAAGTCTGACCCGACTCACAGCGACTGCTATGAGTCAGGTCCGACTCAACGGCATGTAGCTATGATCTATAGATATGGATAATAGATAGATGGAGCTATTAAAAAAAAGAAAAGAAAAAAAAACTCACTGCCATCAAATTGATTCCAACTCATAGCAAAAACCCCCTTTGGGTTTCTGAGGCTGTCAATCTTTACAGAAGTAGTTTGCCCAGTCTTCCTTCTGTAGAGTGGCTGGTGGGTTTGAGCCACCAACCTTCTAGTTAGCAGTCAAATGCCTTAGGGACTATGCTACCAGAGCTATGTTGTTGTGTTGTTGTTATGTGCCGTCGAGTCAGACCTGACTCATAGCGACCCCTCCTTGGGTTTCCGAGGCAGTATCACTACGGAAGTAGGATTGCCCAACCTTCCTTCCGAGGAGTGGCTAGTGGGTTTGAACAGCCAGCCGTCTGGTTAGCAGTCAAGTGCCTTAGCCACTATGCTACCAGAGCTCCCACCAGAGCTATAGATAGATATAAATAGATAGATACATATAGAGAGAGGAATGATAATGTAATTGTAAGAGATTTGCTTTTAACATAAGAAAGTTAGAAAGATGTCAGAATCAAACTAGGAACAAAAACCTCCAAAACATGTTTCTTATTACACATGTACTTTATGGGCTTTAACCCAATAAACCTTTTTCTCCATGAAGTAAATTGTTTTAATTCCACAGAGGAAAACCGTATCATTTTAATATGACAATGCAGTTGCACAAGACACACCATTGAGAATAGTTTTTTCATTTATTCTTACAATTGCTATTAAACATAATTAAAAAGGTAAGAGCATTTTCTAGGGGTTGGAAGCATACCAGCCTTTCCCTAAGATAATCAGAAGTTATAAAACTCTAAAAGTAGTTAGCTATGCTGAACATTTACATTAGGTAGATAGACCCCTTGGAGAGATCAATTATGGGAGAATAGAAGGGCTATATATGCACAGGGAGACAGCTCAGGGGAAGTGAATGGGAAGGAAGGACACAGGGAACAGGTAACTATGGGGAGGAAGTGAAAAGAAAGTTTTTGCACTGTGGGAAACTACAATCAATGTTATGAGACAAAGTGTATGTAAATTGCTGTATGGAAAATGAATTTGCTCTGTAAACTTTCACCCAAATCACAATAAAAAATTTTTTAAAAAATGTTTTATAGAAACATGATTACATGCTACTACCCTTTCATTTAAGTAATAACTCTAATTAGAAAAGTTCCACATTTATAAAGTTATTACAATGGCACAGTTTGCTATATTATTTTTATTAGCACTCAAATAATAAATTGCTCTACAGAAAAAAAAAAAGTAGTTAGCCATTAAAAAGGTTAAAGTTTGGCATTAACTGATGATCAAGACCATCCATATTCCTCAGGCATATTATTATCCTCTTGATATAGAAGATCTACGCTTATACTTAACCAGCAGTAAAATGCTACCTCTGATCAGCTCTTGTGTCTGAGAATTTTACAGATAGGAATGTCTAGTTTTCTCAAAAGCTTATTTCCCCTTATACTCTCCATACTCCTTAAAAAAAACAAAACCCACTGCCATTGAGTCCATTCCAACTCACAGCAACCCGCATTGTGTTTCTAAGGCTGTAAATCTTTAAGGAAGTAGATTCCCTCATCTTCTGCCCACAGAGCAGCTGTTAGGTTTGAACCATTGACCTTCTTGTTAGTAGCCAAATGCCTTACTTACTAAGCCACCCAAGCACCTTATCTCCAGGTAAAAGGAAAGAACAGTCAACAAACAACTCAATTTGACTAGCACTAAAATATAAGTCCTATTATTTAAGGTGATGAACCAGGAAGTAAGTTTGTCAAGTCAGAGGTTACATTTCAAAGACACAGTGACTTACATCATTAAGACTAATTTTGTCCACTGGCTTGAGAAGTGTGTGCTTCAGATGGCCGAGAGCTTCTGCCCAAATCATCTCCACCAAATCACTCACCTCTTGGCTAAGAATATTTGAATTTATGTCTTCCTCCAAAAGCAACTGTAATGACACGAAAAAAGAACATTAACAAAAAGTTATCATGAGTCAAGAGTTTAACATCAACATAGAGAGAAGAAAAAAGGTAGAAGAAGAAATAATTATAGCCCAAGAGTCATCTCAGCTCTTCCTCTAGGTCTCCCCTCTTTCTGGCCTCTCCCTCTATCTCTTCCATACACTCACCTCTAATTTCCCCTTCCCTCTTTCCTAGCTATTTGATTTTTCTGCTTAGCTTTTGCCTTCAAACTTCTCCCTGTAAGTTTGAGTCCTTCCAGTGGAATTAAATATATACTGTCAGAGTTGTGCATTCATATTGTGGTGTTAGTGAAGAATACTGAATATACCAGGGACTGCTAGAAAATCTAACAAATAAATCTTAGAAGAAATACAACCAGAATGTTCCTTAGAAGGATGGTGAGACTCTGACTCACTTTCTTTGGACACATCATCAGAAAAAAAATCAATCACTAGAAAAAGACATTATGGTGGGTAAAGTGGTGGGTCAGCAAAGGCAAGGAAGACTCTCAGTGAGATGCACTGATACAGCAGCCAAAACAATACAAACATACCAACAATCATAAAGACAGTACATGACCAGGCAACATCTTGTTCTATCATACATGGAGTCACCATGAGTCAGAGCAGACTTGATGGAAAGTAACAAGTCAAGGATAACCTAAGATACTGCGTAAACATTCACTGAAAGCACAACAAAATATTATTCAAAAAAAAGAGATGATTATGGTACATACACATAATGGAATACTACGTAACACTAAAAGATAATGAAAATCCTCACAACACCTGAAGAATCCTTAAAACACCTCATCACATAGATCAACTGGGAGGACATTATGCTGAGTGAAGTAAGTAAATCACAAAAGGACAGATACTATATGAGTCCACTATTGTAAAAAGTCAAGGAAAGGATTTCACATGGAAGGAAACCTTTTTTGTTGGTTACCAGTGATAGGAGGGGAAGGGAGGAAAAATTGCTAGTTAGGTAAGAAGCATATACTAATCTGGATGAAGGGAAAGGCAATTTATCAAGTGAGTGACCAGCACAGTAACACTAAGGAAAAGGAAGACACAGAGACGTGCACAAGAGCTACAGACAACAAAGGTAAATAGTTTTACATACACAGTACTGCATTATTAGTAAAAACAAACATTAATCTATGGGTGATTACATAGGTAGACAGGCAAAATGATCAGCTATGAGTAGGTAAAAGGGAATATCTATGTTTGGCACATGATAGTTCTACATACATATTTGTACCTCCCATAAGAATGTCCTAGGGAGCTCTAGTAGCATAGTGTCTAAGGCACTTGACTGCTAACCAGAGGCAGATGGTTCAAACTCACCAGCCACTCCTCGGAAGGAAGGTTGGGCAATCTACTTCCATAGTGATACTGCCCCGGAAACCCAAGGAGGGGTCGCTATGAGTTGGGTCTGACTCCATGTCACATAAAAACAACAATAAGAATGTCCACATATATAATAGAGCTAAGAGGGAGTGAAGTTATGTTAACTTCTTAACCACAGCCAACCATCCAGATAATAAGTGACTGGGCTTGCAGGCTCAAAATCATGGTTGCAAGGAACATCCAAGCTCAAGTGGTATAACATACTATACAAAAATACTGTTCTACTCCTGTGGCTTCCAGACAAATAAAAGACCAGCATATGGGCTGAACATTTACATCTGGTAGATACAGTCCTTGGAGCAATCAATCATGAGAGAACAGAAGAGCAGTGTATGCACAGTCAGGGGCAGGAGTGCATGAGAGGGAAGAGGTAACGATGGGGAGGAAGTGGGAAGGTAACTGTTACATTGTGGGAAATCACAGTCAATGTCATGCGACAAAATGCATATGAACTGCAATGTGGAAAAGAAAATACAATAACAAAATGATAAAATAAATGAAAAACTAGAAATGATACAAAATCTACAGATAGAGATCCAGATGATTAATACTAAATTTTCAGAAATAGGTAGTAACACATTGAAAGGGCAAAGGAGTAGAATCAAATTAATGGAAGATGGAATTAATGAGATTGAAGGCAAATACCTGACTATCTCTTTGGAAAGGGATAAATCAGAAAAAAAAAGATAAAAACAAAATGAAGAAAGCCTAAGATTCATGTGGGACACCATCAAAAGGAACAACCTACATGTAGTTGGAATTCCAGAACAGGAAGAGAAAAATAACACCACTGAGAAAATTGTCAAAGATTTGTTGGAAGACAATTTTCCTGATATGATGAAAGATGAGAACATATCCATTCAGGAAGTGCAACGAACCCCAAACAGGATACACACCAAAAGAAAATCACCAAGACACATCACCATCAAACTCACCAAAACAAAAGACAAAGACAGAATGCTGAAAGTGGCACAGGAAAAACAAAAAGATACCTACAAAGGGCAACCAATAAGACAAAGCTCTGATTAATCAGCAGATACCATGCAGGTGAGAAGGCAATGGGATGGTATATATAAAACCCTGAAACAGAAAAATTTCCAACCAAGAATTATATACCCAGCAAAACTGTCCCTCAAATATGATGGTGAAATTAGGACATTTGCAGATAAGCAGAAATTAAGGGAATTTGTTAAAACCAGATCAACCTTACAAGTGAAACTACAGGGAGCCCTCTGTGGTAAGGCCCATGATGGAGAGGAATAAGGGACATAATGCAGGACAAAACACCTGGACAGATAGACCTGGGCAAAGCAGTTCAATGAGCATAGAATAAACTGGAGTCCCTGTGAGTCCTAGGAAAAAGAAATAAGGTGAGAACAGCACAGTCTAGAGCTCATGAACAGTGAGAACATGTGGTAAATTGGCAATAGTTTCCATTTCCAGGGTAGGACTCTGAGGGAGCTGCAGTACCAACCTGGAAGAAGAGTCTGTGGTATGTTTGCGTGAGAGCTCCTGGGCAGAAGGGCCTAGTGCCAGAGCTGTAAGGTCAAGGAAGATCTGTGATGAGCTATCAGAGACAGCTGGTAATCCATAAAGAGGAAGCAGGTGCTAAAGGGGCATTATGGGCACTAACATTAAGGAAGTAGTCTTGTACCAAAGTGATATAGTCAGCATGCCTAATATCTGGTGGGAAAGTGACCACCCCAAATTCTACAAACCAAGGAGTTCAGTGCTGAAGTAACCAGCCAGTAACCCTACTCAGCAAACCTAGAGACGAAACAGTGACAGCTGGTGCCTGAGTGAAATGAGACAAATAGGGAAGAAACAATGGCAAGTGTACCTAAAAGGGAAATCTGGCATAGAAACAGAGAACTACAATCTTCAATAAGTTTAAAAAGTAATGTTGTTGTTGTTATGTGCCGTCGAGTCAGCCCCAACTCATAGCGACCCCTCCTTGGGTTTACGAAGCAGTATCACTATGGAAGTAGATTGGCCAATCTTCCTTCCAAGGAGTGGTTGGTGGGTTTGAACCCCCAGCCTTCTGGTTACCAGTCAAGTGCCTTAGGCACTACGCTACCAGATAATAAAGTTTAAAAAGTAATCCAAAAACTGGGCCTATGGGAACTCCATCTAGGATCAGGCACCCTGGCCCTACCTGCCTTCTGGGTAGGCACCAACTAGTTCTGGGACCAGGCACCCTGCTTGCAACAATGAAGAGGAAGAAGAACAAACTCTAAAAAAGAGGAAAAATTTAATTTTCAGAATTATCACAGTGAAAGAGCTTAAAGTTCCAATTCCAAAAGACAAACACAAAACATATAAAGAGGCAGGAAAGGATAATCCATGCAAAAATAAAAAATCAGGGCACTGAAACTCTCCCTGAGGAAGAACAGATAACAGAACCACTCAACATAGGTTTTGAAGCAACAATATGAAGCATGCTCAAAACACTGAATGAAAATGTGGGAAAAGAACTAAAGGAAATGAGAAAAATGATATAAGAACAAAACAGGAATTTCAATAAAAAGAAATTTTAAAATAAACAAATACACAGCCACCTACCCAGAGAGACCAAGTAGTTGAACCTGTGGGTTCGGGACCACAGTCACAGGGGACATCAAGCTCAATCAGCATAACACACTACACAAAACGTTCCACCTCCTACTTTGGAGAGTGGCAACTGGGATCTTAAAAGCTTGCAAGCAGCCATCTGGATGCAATGATGGGTCTCTCCTCGTCCAGAGCAAAGAAGAATGAAGAAAACCAAAGATTCATGGAAACAATTAGTCCTAGTGACTCATACAACATGCAATCTGCAGCCTATACGACTATAAGACCAGAAGAACTAGATGGTGCCCAGCTACCACTGTCAACCACTCGGAAGGGGATCTATGTAGGAGATCCTGGATAGAGAGGAGAACAATGTGGAACAAAACTGAAAATCGTTTGGGAAAAAAAAAAAGGAAAAGGGGGGTGGGGACCAGGTTTACTGGTCTGATATAGCCTGATGGAACTACTGAGACTATGGCCCCTAGTTGCCCTTCAGGTCTGGAATTGAACCCACACCTGTGGCTTCCAGCCAAGCAAAAGACAGGCATATGAATTGAACATTTACCTGAGGCAGATACACTCCTTGGAGAGAACAATCATGGGAGAAAGAAGGGCTATTTATGCACAGGGAGACAGCTCTGGGGGCAGGAGGGCATGGAGGGATGGATGTAGGGAAGAGGTAATTATGCAGAGGAAGTGAGAGAGGAGCTGTTGCATTGTGGTAAATCGTAGTCAATGTCATGAGACAAAAGTATATGTGAACTGCTGGATGGCAAGTGAATTTGCTCTGTAAATTTTCACCCAAATCACAATTTAAAAAATAAAAAAAGAAAGAAAACAAACAAACAAATAGAAATACTAGAACTGAAAAGTTCAATAACATATATGAACAATTTGCCGGAAGGGCTCAACAGTAGATTTGAGCTGGCAGAAGAATCCATGAACTCGAAGACAAAGCAACTGAGACTGTTCAGACCAAGCAGTAAAAAGGAAAATGAGTAAAGAAAAATGAACAAAGCCTAAGA